AAGCACTGGGTACTACAACATTTCACTTTGTTGGGTGTCTATCGGTCGCCGGGCACTTCGTGTACACTACAAATGAAACCATCACGGGTTCCCAATGTGGCTAGCTTCTACAAAGTCTAGTGTACTGCCACCGCCTCCATAACGCGACCCTTCGCGTGGTCCATAGCAACCTTAATCTTCTTTGAGCAGCTCTCGCTGTCCACAACCTTGGATAGGATGAAAAGAGTGAGCAAGTCAAACCAAAGAACCATAGCTTCACACTGGTGTCTGCCCCACTGAGGGCAGAAGAGCAAAGACAGAGCTCCGCACTGATCCTCGTCCGTCACCGACGTGAGTTCAGGAAACACATCCCTCAACAGTGTCTGCCACTGAAGCCGTTCGCGAGCACCCGCATCTTTTGCTGTGGTCAGCGCCATGGCGACGTAGAGACGAGTGACCAAATCCTCGTCAGACTCGTTCGTCCGACCAAACTCCTTGCGGAAATGCGGCCAAGCCTCTTCATCGATCGAATCAATGTCCTGACGGGCCCGCGTAAACGCGATGAAACCAGGCCCAACAACGTCACCACTTCGTGTCATGTCGCGCACCGTTGCGTTCACTATGCTCACCCAAAAGGCCAACACCCTACCCATCTCTCGGATGGAGAGCTGGCAAAGGAAGCTCCCATCGCCTAGAATCAGATCGAGCACGCCCTCCAGTGCGCGGCGAGTCAAGTCGGAATGCTTCACAGCAAACTTCCACCCCTGGAAGGTGGCAAGAGAGCCCGCTCTCTCACGCGGGTCTGGCGTCTCAAGGAGAGCAAAAAGACCCAGGTCTGTGCTAACGGGCGATCCCCCGCGCGTCTCCGTCGCGATGGAACGAGCTGGCTGGGCATCCATTTCTCTCGAAATGTGTCTCTCGACGTGTCACTCTGTTCCGGCTGTGTCGGTTTATGGGATGCGCTCCCGCTAGTGATCACAGTCACTTGACTGTTGTAGACAAGACCTTTCGACTTGTGGTTGATGGGTTACACCGTTTGCTGGTAGCAATCAACATCCAATGGATGGAAGATGGAATAAAAGAAAAGAACCTCTCGGGTTCAATGGAAAAGGGAACACGTCCCTTTATACTTCTCAAGTCAGTCGCCCCCGGCTCCACGCGTGTCGTGCCGACAAGCCTGAGTGGGGCCCCCTTCACTGCGTTGTCCCCCACGACCCACGCCCGCTCGTCTCTCGCTTGCCGTGTTACTGACCAATTGTCTTCGCCCTTCTCCGACAATTGTAGGACTCACTCCTCCGCTGACGCTTCGGATGATAGTGACGCCGCGAACCGGCCCAGCCCCGGTGGTGCTGGTTCCATGGTACGCCTTATAACCAAACATAC